GACTATCGTTTTCAAGCAACCCATCATCGAGCCCGACGCTGAGCGTAGGTCACCTGACAGAAGACACGACCGACAGGGTATACGCTGACATGATGGTTTGAAGTTACGATGCTGTACGTCGAAAAAGACCTCTCCGCCATCGTCAAAGCAATTTTCGACCAATGGGAAGAGAAGAAACAAGAGCTGGATGGTGCGTACCTACAAGCCAGCAATGCAAGAGTGAGGCCGAAAGACATTGTCGCCGCGGCGAAAAAAGGTATATCTTCTTTCCAGGTCCAAAACGAATCATCAGATGACTGACTTTGAGGATGCAGTGTCTGGGAAGAATGTTGAATACGTGGTCCTGCCCACGACAGGCGTGCCGGAAAGAGATACCATGTTCCGGTTCTACAATGACGTCGGGATGCACCCGGGTGTGTCGTTGCCAGATCCGCAAGTGGTGAAGCTGGGGGTTAAATTTCATGACGCCGAGGACTACATACGGGAGAGACTCTTGCCGCATCTGGGACTTGTGCCGGTTAACTAGCACTGCCTAAGTAGCGAATAAAAGATCAGGCACGGGAATTTCGACGCATTTGTTCTGTGATATGGAAAATGAATGGTCGAGTCCTGTACCGTGAAGTAATGCATGGTCAAACTCCGCGCACTCAAAAAGGTAGCCCGTATGGGAAGATGCACGGCGAAAAAGCCAAAAGAAACAGAGGCGTTTGCCAACAGAAATCACGCACCTAGTGATCAAGGTTCAAAGACTGCACAGGCTTCCTTTCAAAGAAGGCTGCTACTAAATGACATTGTCAAACCATCCCCGCCCAAAGTTGGCTAAGACAGGGGGGTTTCCCTTCCTCGGCGTCAAGTCCACCATGCTGGGCTCGGCATATCCATTCCGATCTTGTGTGTCTCAGTGGTCCCCCACACGTTTTATGTCCCCACTTGTTGTGTACAGTCTAGCCTGATCTGGTAATTCCTCACCCCCTCGACCAAGAGAGGCACAGCTCTTTTCGATTGTCGAGCACCAGGCATGTCTGGCCGTTGTGTATCTAGGAGTGTGTCTCAACGAACGTGTCAAAGTCAGCATCGACCAGAATGCTTGTGTCCAAGCTGCACATCAGGCTCAACAGTCCCAGCGTGCGGCAAACGCTGACTAGACACTGTCGACAAATGTCTGGAGTCAGTGCGATCGACTCTCGAGTTTTCCGAAATCTATTTGGGACGGAGCAGATCCGCAAGGTACGTGAGCTCCTCTCGTGTGTGGAAGATAAGTACTGACTTTGTCTCTTGGTACCAGGTCTTCAGCGACACAGCGTATCTGGAGCGATGCGTTGAGGTCGAAGTCGCGCTTGCGAAAGCTCAGGCGAGGGCAAAGATCATCCCTCAAGACGCTGCGGACCAGATAGCCAGCAAGGCACGAGCCTCGTCACTCGACCTCTCCCGTCTCAGCGACGAGACCGAAATCGTCGGGTACCCAATCCTCCCGCTCGTGCGGCAGCTGGCCACCATGTGTGGCGATTACGCGGGCAAGTATCTGCACTGGGGGGCCACGACGCAGGATATCATGGACACGGCGTCGATGTTGCAGATCCGGTCAGGCTTGTCGATCGTGGAAATTGAGCTTGACAGGGTGATCAAAGCCACAGAGTCTCTCGCCGAGAAGTACAAAAACACGCCCATGGCGGGACGGACACATCTGCAGCATGCCCTTCCCGTGACGTTTGGATACAAGTGCGCGGTATGGCTGTCCAGCTTGCATCGACACCGCGAAAGGCTCAGGCAGGTACAGCCTCGTGCCCTGATGGTGCAGTACGGAGGTGCAGCTGGGACCCTGGCTTCGCTTGGAGCCGGCGAGGAAGGGATAGTGGTTCGGAAAGAGCTGGCAAAGGAGATTGGTCTGGCCGACCCCCCAATCTCGTGGCATGTCGCGAGAGACGGGATCGCAGAGACGCTCAATCTGCTCGCGTTGATCGGTGGAACTGTTGGCAAAATCGCACTCGATCTCATGATCATGTGCTCGAACGAATTCGCAGAGGTCGCGGAACCATTCGTGCCTCATCGTGGGGCCTCGTCGACCATGCCGCAGAAGCGGAACCCCATCTCCAGCGAGTTGATGCTCGCGGCGTCGAAGGTTCTGAGATCGAATGCCGGCTTGGGCCTGGACGCCATGGTCGCGGACTTTGAACGCGCTTCTGGACCGTGGCACCTCGAATGGATTGCAGTACCTGAAAGCTTCACCGTGGCCGTCGGGGCTCTGCACCAGGCGGCATTCGCTCTTTCTGGCCTCGTTGTCGATGAGAGGCAGATGTTGACAAACTTGAATTCCACGGCGGGCCTCATCGTCGGAGAGGCCGTCATGATGGGTCTTGCGCCGTTCATCGGTCGCCAAAAGGCACACGACGTGGTGTACCAGGCCTGTCAGGATGCAGTTCAGGACAAGACCTCCCTACTGGAGGCTTTGAGCCGTGATAAGTCCATCGTTGATGCTCTGGGCATGGATGAGCTGGGGAAGTTGTGTGATCCGGTCAATTACCTGGGATCGTCGACGCGCATGGTCGATGATGTCCTAGCCTTGAGAAAATAAAAATATAGCGGTTGATGTATGCTGCTTTTAGATATTGGGGAACAACTATAGAAGATCAAGAGCCATCAAATGTCAAAATTCCATCTATTTCAGATTCGAGGAGACCAAGTTTCGCGCACAGAGCATATGCCATGTTGACATCCAACACTTCGGTGCGTGTACCGGGCAAAACACTCCATGACCCCCTGCTCCATCCTGTGTGTGATATCTAGAATGTTTTCAGATCATCGGCAACAGTAAATGCAGCAGCTGTTTTGCTTCTGACTTCCTCCATACTGCTTCCCTCAGCCACCTCTATCAACACCAGCCCGTCTGATTGAACATCGAACACAGCAAGATCGGTGATGATTCGGGAGACACACCGCTTCCCAGTCAAGGGAAATGTGCAGGCTATATATCTGTCAACAATCACTGGCTCTGTGAGACAGGGACGAAACTCACCGGGAAGGATCTTGGGGTTTCCTTTCTTGTCCACGTGGTCCTGGTGAGGTATTTAGTACTGAGATCCGCCTCCCTTGAGAAAGCCACATACCATGAGAACGACAACCTTGGTCTCCTGTGGGTTGGCCACCAAGTCCATCGCACCTCCAATCCCTTTCACCTTGCCTGGAAGCATGAAGTTTGCCAGATCTGCTTGGTGTTAGGCCGTATTGCCCAAAGTCATCTCGTGTTGCTGAGCTTACCTCCATTTGCGCTGACCTGCAGTGCGCCCAGCATAGTCAGATTTATTTTCCCGGCCCTGATCATTCCAAAGCTCTCATGGCTCCCAAAGACCGACGCTCCGGGGCTCAGCGTGATGGTCTCCTTGCCTGGGTTGATGAGATCTGGATCCTCTTGTCCGGGTTCTGGGTATCTGCCCATTCCCAGGATGCCGTTTTCCGATTGAAGCACGATTTCGACACCGCCGGGAACAAAGTTTGGTGCCAGCAGAGGCATACCGATGCCGAGGTTGACATACATTCCGTCCTTGAGCTCCTTGGATGCTCGTTTCACGATACGCTCTCTGCGGGCCGATGCAGCATCCACTTGGATATTTGTCAGTGTAAATCTGCAGCTGATTGTGCTCACCACTCACCTTGCTGCAACTGCTCCTCGGGACTTTTGGCAAATGTGAACTTTTCGATTTCCTTGGGCACAGTCGCTTGTATGACTCGATCAACATAGATACCCTGTAGGTGAATGTCCTCGGGGGCAATGTCTCCAGCCTCAACGAGATGGTCCGCTTCGACGATTGTCAGCTTTGCATTTTTCCCCATGGCCTCATTGAAATTGTTCTGTGCTTTTCGAAACCGGCAATTCCCCATCCGATCGGCCTTGTCGACTCTGATCAGCGCGACGTCTCCAAAGATTGATTCTTCCAACAGATAGTCCTTGCCTCTGAAGCTGCGTGTCTCGCGAGGCTTGGACATGAGGTCAACTGAGCCGTCGGGCTTGTACCGCACTGGAAGCTCTCCCGTCTGCACTGTAACGAATTTGAGTCCTCTGGAAACGGTGGCTAGCTATCCAGGTCTCTTACCTATACTTCCTAGAGCGGCTGGTGTGTAGAATGCAGGCACGCCAGCTGCCCCAGCTGCACATCTCTCTGCCATTGTCCCCTGCGGCGTGAGCTCCAAGGAGAGCTCGCCGGACAAATACATGGACTCGAACTTTTTGTTTTCCCCAATGTACGAAGCAATCATCTTGCTGATTTGCTTCGTGTCCAGCAGTTGGCCGAGTCCTATGCCTGGCATCCCAGCGTTATTCGACACCACCGTAAGATCCTTGATTTCTGGGTGGTCGCGAAGGGCGTTGATCAGTGTCATGGGTACTCCCGACAACCCAAACCCGCCGACCAGGACGGTGTCGCCACTCTTGATGTCGGCGACGGCTTCGAAGGGCGAGGTCCAGAATTTGTTGATCCGACATCGGGAACGACAGCTGGAGAATGAGCGAAATTGAGGATACACGACGGTGAATGGGTTTCTCGTGCCTCCACGGCAGTGTAGGAATATCTGCAGTTTCGACATCGTGGTTCAAGGGTGTAGTTTGACACCGAAGCAATTGGCTGGAGAGTACACCATCCTAGAGTCAATTGAAAATACCAGGTCTACCATAGCGACTGATTCTCCAGGCGAAACAAGGACTCCCACTTGGACATTGGGCACCGATTTAGGCGGGTGCAACGCCTATAGGCCCCACTTCCAATCCTCCTTAGGCACCTTCAGCCCCTGGAAAATGGTACCGTAGGGCCCCAAAAGAGTCGACAATTTGCCAGTTTCCCAATTGCGACGATGAACCCACATGATACCAAACACTTTGTGTGATTGTCCAAAAGAGCATTTCACGGTCTGGCTATACCACAGATATGCCCATTCAGTCACAGAAAGACCCGCGCACTTTGAAGAGTTCCCCATCTTGAGCAATGACCTGCTGAGAGAAAACCTCCAACATGATTCCTGTCACAGTTGCTGGGAGGCAACTGTCGCGGCTGGCCCCTAGAACGAAGCTTGTGCCTTGCAGAAAAATTGCGTCGCTATCCTCTGAGAAAAGCCTCCCCTTGCAGGGAATTAAGGTCGTGGATCTCACAAGAGTTCTGGCTGGAGTAGGTTGCCATCATCCACTTGACCTTTCTCGTCTGACAGGATTCCAGCCATATTGCACGCAAATTCTTGGCGACCTTGGGTAAGTGAAGACGACAGACTCGATTACCTCTCTGCTGATGGCCTCCATGCGCCGAGATCACCAAAATCGAGCACCCGGTCCGCGGCGACGACACGCGACAATGGGGTCCACCTTACGCCCCTTACCTCGATGGCCGGAGCGGACCTGGCGAAAGTGCATATTACCTCTCGGTGAGAGCAGTTCGTTAGTGCTGCGATCTCAGACGACACTGACATAGAAGGCCAGGTGAATCGCAACAAGAAGTCGGCGGGTGTCTCCTTTCAGCATCCAGAAGGTGCAGATATCATCCGAGAACTAGCACGAACCGCCGATGTATTTGTCGAGAACTTTCTACCTGGGACGCTGAAGAGATATGGACTGGACTTTGCGACTTTGGAAAAGACGAATCCACGGCTGATATACGCGAGTATAACTGGATACGGTCAGTACGGCCCATACCACGACCGGGCTGGATATGACGTGATGGTGGAAGCGTGAGGTTTCAAACATGGTCCAATACACGGCAAAGGGACTAATTGTATCGGCAGAGAGATGGGATTGATGCATATTACGGGGACGAGAGATGGTCCGCCAGTCAAGGTTGGCTGCGCGGTCACAGATCTGACCACGGGCATGTACGCCTGCAACAGCATTATGGCGGCACTTCTCGAGAGGCACAACTCGAATCGAGGACAACATCTGGATGTGTGTCTGAGCGACTGTCAGGTTGCTACATTGTCGAACATGGCCGAATCTGTCTTGATCTCGAAGAAGAGGGACAGTGGCAGATGGGGCACTGCACATCGTACGGTATTTGAACTGGATTATTCGTTCCTTGAGCTAACTGTGGCTTTAAGCTTCTGTCGTACCTTATCGAGCATTCAAGACGTCCGATGGAGACGTTCTTTTCGGCGGCGGCAATGACCGACTCTTCGGAATTCTATGTACAGGACTAGGGAGGCAGGAGTGGGCCAGTGATGAGCGCTTTGCTACGAATGCAGCACGGGTTGCAAATCGGAGCGTCCTCGAACCGGCCATTGAGGAGATCACCCGGCAGAAAACGACGCAAGAGTGGCTCGACATTTTCGACGGCACAGGCCTTCCGTATGCCAAAGTCAACGACCTGATGGACACGCTCAATCACGAACACGGTAAGTTTCCCCGAATCTTGCTGGCTGCAGAACTGACAGGCAATGCACAGTCCGGGCCCGCGATATGGTCGTCTCGGTGGACCACCCGAGCTGCGGTGTGATAGACCTAGTCAACACGCCCATCAAGTATTCACGCTCTCGACCTTCGATACGATCGCCACCACCTCTACTTGGACAACATACGGATGAGATTCTGAGGACAGCTCTGGGATTGGCACCTGAAAAGATCCGTGATTTGAGAGCTAGTGGTGCAGTTGGCTGACGAGGAGGCGTGGAGGGGCCGCTCATAAGGAGTGCCTGCTGACACCAGTGTCGAAGGGCGGGGATAGAATGGATGATATGGCGACTCATCATCCATTCCTGGGGTTTTAGGACGAAATGATGCGCAAGGTGTCCTTGTAACAATCTAGATGCAATGCTGGCTAAGGGCAAAAACAGAATAGACTACTCGTAATCTTGGTGATCTGGCGCTGCTTGAGCATTGGCAAGGCTGTCCTGCAGAAAGTATAATTCGATGTGGGGGAGGGGGGGGGGGTTGGGCCAAAAAGAAGTCCAAACCCACAATACTATACCTCGATAGTCCATACCTAATCTACTTGTAGCAGTATCATTAGGCCATCTCCCCACATCGCACGGGGTTGGCTCTATGGATTTGTGGCACACTCACACTTGTAGCTGAGTCCGGATTCAGCCTCCAGTGGGTAGGGGTAGACAGAGTGTTTATGCAAGCCCATACCGACACTGCATACTACCGTAGGAGTTGAGCTGATGACGGGACAAACCTTCCATCCAGCCTTGCCCAATCGCTCCCGTCGTTTTTGAGCAGAGATTTCTAGAATATCATCTTGTTGGGCAAGAAGAGCCATGGCTCAGAAAAGAAACGTGACGTTTACGCAGGAGTTTGCGGCCGGTACGTCAGCTTGAACCATGCCATGCGAAGGCAAGAGAGTCGACACTGACAGGGCTGGATGTGAATTTCTTTCAGGAGCGGGAGCAGGTGTTTCGGAGGTATGTGGTCATGACGAAGGTGATGGCGATAGTCTTGGTGCAAGGCACCGTGGAGGGTGGTTTGCTGAATGACTGAGGAGCTGACTGAAAATGAAATGTGCTGTCGTTTAGATTTTGATCATGTGCGTACAACTACAGTGCTTGTGGCAGTGCCAGGAGCATTGGACCATTGGGAGGGTACACGGGGCTGATATATGTACGGCTAGGTACCCCTTGGACGTCGTCAAGACCAGGCTGTACGTACAGCCATCACTGATCTCAAACAATGATCTGACTCTGCGAAAGACAACTGCAGCGATCGAAGAGCCTCTCGGCAGAGTCGTACCGGGGTGTGATGGACTGCTTCGTAAAGATCATCAGGCATGAAGGGTATCTCTCACTGCACACTACCTACACTGACGGCTCAGAGAAAAAGTACTCACCGATAAGCATGGCAGATTCCGACACCTGTACCGTGGCATCACCGTGCCCATCCTGATGGAGACCCCGAAAAGGTCTGTCTCTTTCCCAGCCATAACATGTATTGATGACGCAGCGTCGACTGAGTTGACTCTATCTCTCTCTCTCTTCTAGAGCAGTCAAATTCTCGTCCAACGACATCTTCACCAGACAGTACCTGCGCATCCTCGGCGCCCCGAAAGTCAATCAGACCGTAGCCCTACTCGCCGGCTCGAGCGCCGGCGCCGTGGAGGCCGTGGTGGTGACGCCGTTCGAGCTCGTCAAGGTCCGACTGCAAGACCCCTCTGTCGCGAGCAGATACAAGTCCGTGACGCGGTGCGTGGCGCACGTCGTCAAGAGCGAGGGCCTCCTCGTGCTGTACCAAGGCTTCGAGAGCACCCTGTGGCGCCACATCGTGTGGAACGCGGGGTACTTTGGGAGCATCTTCAAAGTCAAGGCGGCGCTGCCCGCGCCCTCGACGGACGTCGAGCAGACCCTCACGAACTTTGTCACCGGCGCGATCGGCGGCAGCTTGGGCACCGTGCTTAACACGCCCTTGGACGTGGTCAAGACGAGGATCCAGGCGTCGACCCGGGCAAAAGGCGCCGTGGCAAAGTATAACTGGGCTTTCCCGGCGTTGATCACGGTGGCGCGAGAGGAGGGTATCCGGGGTCTGTATAAAGGCCTGACTGCGAAGCTTCTGCGGTTCTGTCCCGGAGGGGGTGTCTTGTTGGTAGCGCACAGTCAGATTCTGAACATGTTTGAGGCGTCGAATAATGCGAGGATGTTGAAGCAGGATCTGTGAGCTTGCTAGAGCGAATAATACGTTATAGGGATAGATATTCTCTTGATCTACTGGGATGAGTCGCTTAGTTCAACATTGGACGACTCTTGTACCTGAATTGACCATGTCAATGTCTCTATGGCTTCACCGTCCGAGACCAGACGCGAAAGTGCTCATCGCAGTATCTAAAACTCCTCAGAAAGGACTCTTGGAGCGCACCCAGCACCAACAGACTACGCTGAGACTGTCGCTCATATGTGCCCGCCCTTGGCACGCATTCGACCGCCATAGATATGGAGAATGACAATAATGCTCACAGACACGCCGACGATGGCGGCCTGTGTCCCAAAAGACCCATCATACCCGACCTTCGCACCCCACTGCACCTGGAAATACCCGACCGAGAAGCCGCTGATGGCCCGGGCAAAGTTGAGCAGAGCATTGACCTCCCCAGCAGCGATGGGGTACGCGTCCAGCAGATACGCGGTCAATGAGACAGACGCGGCAAGTGTGCCCGCCGTGTACGCACCCCAGCCGATGATGATGGCGCTGTAGTGGAGTGTATGCTGCAGGGCCTCGCCGAGGATGACGAGTCCCGGGACCATCAGGGCGGCTGCCACGTAGTTTGTGACGAGGCGGGCTTCGGGGTCAAACACGCCTTCGTGCTTCTTGATGTAACGATTGGCAAGCCAGTCGTTGAAGAAATGGCCCCAGATTTCTGCGAGGATGGTGCCCACCGCCGGGGTCAGACAGATTGCTCCAAGGGCGTTGGGCCCAAAGCCATATCCTCCGGCTTCTTTGGGGACGGTGAACAGAATTGAAGTCCCGATATTGATGCCGACGGCCCACATGATGTTGATGCCGCTAGATATGTATTAGCCTGGTAGATAAATGCTTGCGGTGGTGGTAGTCTCACAAGTAGATCATGCTCGGTATGATGATGGGCTTGAGGAAAACCCGAAAAAGTCGATGAAACGACTCCGGAACGGACAGGAAATACCCCTTCTGGATGGTCAGTTGCCAGATGCCAACCACGCGAAATAGTCGTTGACCACGGACTGGCTGGTCTTCGATCGGAACCTCGCGCTTGTACCATGTTTCATCCGAGAACAGGATTATCAGAGCCAGATTGACACAGCAGCACGCGAAACCCAGCCAGAGACATCCGATGTATCCACCAGTGCCGGCAATGATGAAATTTCCAAAGGGCGGGCCAAGATACGGCCCGGTCAGGAAGATTGCGGCCCAGATGCCGATCTTGCGAGCATGTTCGTGGAAGAAGAACATGTCCTTGATAAAGTTGAGGCCAATGCCCTGGACCGAGGACAGACAAAAGCCCTGCAGCGCACGAAGAGCGTAGTACGTGTCAAAGTCGTCTGTGAGAACGGTGCCCAGTGAGAAGAGCGTGCCAGCCAAGGTCGTCCAGAACAACACTGGAGCTCGGCCCCAGAAATATACAAACGGGACCCAAAAGAGGCCACCGATGGCTCTAAGCACAGATTTTCAGCTGTGTCTCCTTCGTGGTATCGAAATACTTACAGCATGAGAACATTGAGATTGTTGTTGTAGTTGACAACCGAGGGAGATAAATTCCATTTGACGCCCTGTAAGATGATGGGAGGGATCCCCAAGGTGGATGTGAGATCACCCAAGCCAGCCGCGATGCCCAAGATGACAAGAATCATATGCTTCTTGAAGGGAGACCAATTCAAAGGGTCATTGGGATCCTCTGAGGGCTGCGGAATCAGGACTGTCTGTCGAAACCGTCAACTCTATTGAGCCATGCTCGAGAGGAGGAAACGGGCTTTGCTCTTACATGTCCATCTTTCGCCAGTTTCAAGCCAGCGAGAAGAGCACCATCAATATGGCCGGCAGTGACGTCGAGCAAGACAGCCTCATTGCCCAAGTCAATCGTCGGCCGCTCGAGATGAGTCGCTTCTGGTTCAGGGTTGCTCGAAAGCTTCTCGACGTCAATTTCACTGTCTGTCTTGGCCGTCATGGCTGCGGGGGTTCAGTCAACTTTTGGCGAAGCGGGTTCGACAGCTGAATGTCAGCCCACGCTCGCGGGGTATAACAGGCCATATTTGTATGTCCTTCCCCAGATTGGCGACTCCATGTGTCCTTCTCCAGACGGGGTCAGGGGCCAGAAAGAGGAAGGTATCCTAGCGCCCCCACCTCGTATTGCAGATTGATGTACAAGTAAAGACCCTGCCCAACGGCATCATGGCTATTGCTCGCTGAGAAGCGAGTCTGGGGTTTTAGCAAACTCGCGCGAACCATTCACGCCAAGGTCAAGTATTCAGAAGATAACGAACTAGCCGCTTCTGTGCGAGCAATCTGTGGGTTGGCGAAGTGAAGCTGGGCCAATAAGCACAATCCTGCTTGGCTTGCTTTGTGATCGGAATGATCCAATAGTGAGTCGCGTCCACGAACCCCCTCGATCGGACCGGTGGGGGTGGGGGAGACCTGGGATGTCGGTGCACGGCGTGTCGGAGCCCCCGATGGAGTACTTCTTGACTTAGACTGTTGTAAGATATGTCTAGCTTGATATCTGAAGAAAAGAGTCGAATAGGCTTGGTTGCAAGTTGGTGGTGGTAAACCTGTGGAGCAGTCGCACATCCATAAAAGAGTACACGTATGTGGCACGTTTGTCACAATGACGGACACAATGAAACAGAGAAGCCGTCGAATTGGTCCTTGAGAGTTGACAGTTTAGAATTTGGATGTCACTTGTATTTTTCCTGTTGTTTATGCAGCACAGCACCCCAGAAACCTGGGATCCCCTGACAAAGCATCCACACTGACTTCCTTAGACGGTACCAGAGTTCCTGGTAGGGACGAAAGACTGCCACGTGACACTTCACACATGCTGCCAGAGTAGGGAAAAAGTTACTAACCAAAGTCACGTTGGTGCATAAATCTGACGATGGTGATTGGCTTTGGTTGCGTGGTGGCTGTACTAGCTGAACTAGCGCTTTTCCTTCTCCAATTGTCGACGCTGGCCAGTCCCCGCGTCTCCCCAACTTCGACCT